TCTGCACCTCTGTTATTGCACTCCTCCGTGACTCTGACGCTTCCCCCCCTGCCCACTCCCCGTCTGTGCCGGTGAAGGAGCTTCCTAGTGTGTGGAAACTTTTCCTCCTTCACAGCTCCCTCCCCTAGATGCAGGTCCCATCCCTATTCTTTTTTTGTTGTTGTTGTTGTTTTGTTTTTTTGTGGTACGCGGGCCTCTTACTGTTGTGGCCTCTCCCGTTGTGGAGCACAGGCTCTAGACGCGCAGGCTCAGCGGCCATGGCTCACGGGCCTAGCCGCTCTGTGGCATGTGGAATCTTCCCAGCCTGGGGCACGAACCTGTGTCCCCTGCATCGGCAGGCGGACTCTCAACCACTGCACCACCAGCGAAGCCCCTGTCCCTATTCTTTTGTCTCTGTTTTTTTCTTTTCTCTTTTGCCCTACCCAGGTACGTGGGGAGTTTCTTGCCTTTGGGGAAGTCTGCGGTCTTTTGCCAGCGTTCAGTAGGTGTTCTGTAGGAGTTGTTCCACATGTAGATGTATTTCTGATGTGTTTGTGGGCAGGAAGGTAATCTCCACGTCTTACTCTTCCGCCATCTTGAAGGTCCCTCTCTATTTATTTATTTATTTTGGCTGTACTGGGTCTTTGTTGCTGCGTGCAGGGTTTTTCTTCTTGTGGCGAGCAGGCTACTCTGCGTTGCAGTGTACAGGCTTCTCATTGCGGTGGCTTCTCTTTTTGCGGAGCACGCACTCTAGGTGTGCGGGCTTCAGTAGTTGCGGCACACGGCCTCAGTAGTTGTGGCTCGTGGGCTCTAGAGCATAGGCTCAGTAGTTGTGGCGCATGGGCTTAGTTTCTCCACAGCATGTGGGATCTTCCCGGACTAGGGCTCAATCCCTTATCCCCTGCTTTGGCAGACGGATTCTTAACCACTTCACCACCAGGGAAGTCCTGCTATTATGTCTTTAGAATCTACCTTGATGCAGGGCACTTTGTAGATAATCAGTAATTGCTAAATGAGTGGAAAGTAAGTTTCTTAAAATTTTTTTGTGCTGAGAGTTTAAGTGAAAATAAGCCATTTTCATTGTGTGATGTTTAGACCTTTAGAATTTTAGGATCTTATTGCTGGAAAAGCCCTTCAAGATCTTCTCTCCAGCTTCTGTAGAAATGTCTTTGGAGCCATCACTGGAAGAGAGGCTTGGGCAACAGCAAGAGAAGGCCTTACAGAGTGGAGGTGGCTCATCCCGTTTTCCTCACTCCCTTCCAAATACCCCTTAATGGGCAATTCAGCTTTTAAAATGAGAAAAACAAAAACAAAAAACAACAAGAGCAAAAACAAACCAACAGTTGGAAAACCATCGATTCAATTCATTGTTATATTTTACATATGAGGACATTGTGGTCCAGAGAAGTTCAGTGAAATATGTTTGTTAATGGCAGTGTTGGAACTATTGTCTAGACCATTTCCAAAAGACAAATGTGATTTTTATATAGTGGTTACTTTAAATTCAGCTGGAAAGCAAATGTTTTTGAACTGTAATTTCTGATATTTCTGTTGCTTCCCATCTCCCATCTTGAAGGTTAATGGCTGCTGGCCCATGTTTTAAAGTATGATGTATGAGTTTATATATGTCATTTATGTCTCAAGCTAGTCAATAATTAAGTGTTGGTTTGAGTCACTTAAAATTTTTTGTTGTTGTCATGTAGCTTTTCATTTGCATTATTTCATTAATGATTTTGAAAAGAGCAGTCAGAATGGTGTATTACCTGCTGCATTGAACAAATATATAACCTTTATTTCAGAACACTTTATTAATCTAGGTGCTGTGTATTTAGGGGCCTAGTGCTTAAAGCAAACAAAGAAATAAAATAAAAACTAAAAATTGCTTTTCTATGCTAAACGAAATAGAATAATTGAAACATTTAATCATAGGCTATTGAGATTGCTTTGAAAATTATGCTTATATGTAGCCACTATAGTTTTATATAGAAACCAGTTTTTTTTTTTAAAGCAAACTTAATGGCATCCTCTTCTTGAATCATAGATGCAATTCATTTCTTTGGTATGTTGATGGTAATTTTTTTTTTTTTTTTTTTTTTTTTAGCAGAGAAAGGTTTATTGCAGGGCTAAGCAAAGAGAACAGGTGGCTTGTGCTATAAAAAACCCCAAATTCCCCCATGGTTTTCAGGGAGAAGTTTTTATAGGCAAAATTTGGGGTGAGAGCAGCAGGGTGTGTGACTTTCTTCTGGTTGGTTGTTGGTGAGGAAACAGAGTGGTGCCCCAGGAATCTTATGCTCTGCCTGAAGTCACCATCCTCCACCTGGGTGGGGTCCCCAGTTCCTGGGTGTATGGCTATTATCTCCATTCCCTTCACATCCCAGGGACCCTTCTTTTGCTCCATAAAGGTGACCAGGTCTGGCTTAGAGACAGGACCCAAGGAGACCAGATTTTTATAGTTCTCTAACATTCACATCCCTGTACAATTCCCATTAAGTGCTGTCCAGAAATTCCCACTTATCCTGAGAAAATTCTATGACTACATCCTGGAATGTCAACAGTCCCTGAGAAGCTGCCATTTCCTCCTCTTCTTTGTCTTGTCTGGGTCATTTTCTCATCGATATTACATTGAGGAATCACATCGGCATCTTGAGAATATGCCTTTGCTCCTAACATACCCACAGGCAGAAGGATCTTGAAATGCTGAAAAGGTCAACTTTTCCTGTCCTTGTCTCAGAAGATATTCAGGAAAAATCATCTCCTATAGGGAGACCAAACTATGAATTCATTCTTTCCTGTTTCTAGGTGTTCTCACCTCATATAGATGTCAGGAAATCTATAGACGGGGTATGTGGGCTGTACTGACTTTCCCCTTCCAAACCCATGTAACAGGAAACCATGATGCCTCTCCTTGTAATTTATTATTTTTAAGATTTTTTCCCCCCTCCCTACATGATATTTGTTTCCTCTAAGTTGAGTTTTCTACTGTTCAGTCTCTAGCTTTTATGTTAGCTGCATTCTTTGGATGTCTGATACTTCTGGCTGCTTGTGATGAAGAGCTCTCCGTGCCTTGGTGGATCTTTGTAGATTCTGAGCTTTAACGTGGTGTGATTTGGGCAGGCAGGTGTGTTGAGAAGCCCTTATGTTAGTCTCTTTAGAACTTCCTTTTTGGTTTTGTCAGATTCCTCAGAGAAGTATTTTCAAATATTGCCCAGAAGGTAATGGTCTGGCTGCCATTATTTTGTGAACTGAATGGAGTCAGAGCCTAAGTGCTCTGAGTCAAAATGCATATGATGACTTTCTTTCTTTTCCTCTGTCATTTTTCTCACATTCTGCTGGCTCACATTAAGCCTGGTGATGGGGTGGAGATATGTAATGTACCAGCAGTGAGGCACCTCATGTCATATGGCAATGAGCAGGGATGTCCTCCTCTTTTAAGGAAGTGATCCAACAGTTGGGAACAACAATACAGTCTGCCATAGAGAGTGTTCCAAATGCAAGAATAATGGGACTCAAGCAGTTTGGTCTTGGCCATACCTCCTCCTATTGTTTTAGGTCAATACCATAGCTTAAGAAAACTAAAGAGACAAAGATTTCTAAGAAGGAATTTGCATAAAGAGGGTGAAATCTCACTGGCTCTCAAAGGACACCTGGACTTCCTAGGCATACGATGATTTTAATCGCCCATCCTCCTACCCTTAACTGTGCTTGCGTTTTACCTTCTTCAGAGATGAATTCTCTAGCCAGAATTCTGTTGGGGTGGGGGAGAAGCAGTTTTCATCCAGTCCTCATTTTAGCCTCCTATCTCCCCGACTCCAGTTATTGAAGAACCAGATGTTTCCAGTTTCTGAGCCTTTTGAGGATTCTGCAGTGTAATTGGGGTTGATTCTCAGCTGTCCGCATTGCCTTCCTGTGATTTGGCTTTCTTAGGTTTACTAGAGTCAACATGTATCCATTTGCTTTCCGACTGACAAAAGTTTGTATTTTTTTGGATAATCTTCATCCTGGTGCTTTTCATCCTTTAAGAAATAACCATTACTATATTTTTATTGGAGTTTTGAGTGAAAGTAAAATTAAATATTTATGTTCATTCTGTCATTTTAACTTCAAGTGCTGAATGTATAACTCACTTGCATTCTCTGGATTACTGGGTGAGGTTGAGCCTTTAAAAAAAACTTAGTAATTTCCCTTCATGATTCTTGGTATGAGATTGGTGTATGGCTTATTCTTCAATGATTTTTCTGTTAGATTGTCTACAGTTTATCAGTTCTAAAGTTTTACTTTTATATTTGGATTTTTAATCCACCTGGAGTTGATTTTTATATGTAGAGTGAAGTAGTGATTTATTAATTTTTTTCCCCCTACAGAAAACCAGCTCCAGGACTATTTATTGAACAATCCATCCTTTTCTCACTGGTTTGTAATACTAATTCTGTCATATACAGTTGATCCTCATTATTTGCAAATTCTATTTTGCAAATTTGGCTACTTGGTAAAATTTATGTTTATGCCCGAAATCAATACTCGGAGCAATTTCTTGGTTAGTCACAGATCTCGGTGGATATGCAGAGGGCACCTAGGCTGAAGTGGAACAAAGCAAAACTCTACCCTCTTGTTTCAGCTCATACTGTAAACGTGTCCTTTTTATGGTCAATTTAGTGCTATGTTTTTGCATTTTTGTCCTTTGGTGATTTCGTTGTTTAAAATGGTCTCCAAGTGTAGTGCCAAAGTGCTGTTTAGTGTTCCGGAGGGCAAGAAGGCTTTGATGTGCCTTACAGAGAAAATTTGTTGTCAGATAAGCTTTGTTCAGGCTGTTATAGTGCTGTTGGCTGTGAGTTCAATGGTAATGAATCAATAATATGATACATCCAGAAAAAGATAGAGGAAGTTATGATCTGTACCTAAGGCTATTCCAAAAAGTGCTAAAGTAACTTATATAGTGTGTGATGAAGCTATGGAATCACCATTTAAATTACATTTTAATCTTGAGTCTATCATCTAATTTTAGTTTTGTTTTATTTTTACAGTTTAAAACAGAGTGGAAAATTCCCTGGAAATCCCTGGCCTCCCTATAAGAAAAGGACGCCACTCCATCCCAGCTATAAAGGTCTCATGAGACTTTTGCACTGTAAAACTTTACACATTGTGCTATTCACTCTGCTTTACAAGGTACAGTAGTAATTCAAATAGAAAGACTCAGATTAGAATTTATTACCATAATTTGTAAATAAAAGTGCTAAAGGATAATATTTACATAAAAATACTATTTATAAAATAAAGTGTATTTATATGTTTAAGATGTGTGAGGATATGTCATAATCACATATATATGAATTGTATTCTTTATGTAATTTCAAATCTAAGTTGAAAATAACAGCTATACCATTTTTGGGGGGAAACTGTTCATATTATCAGTTTCAGATAGGAATATTTTTTTATGGTTTCTGTGCCACAAGAAGTGAAATATTGTGTGAGTACAGGAAGAATGAAATGAACAGTAGGGACCAAACAACCACCAGAATCCACTAAAATGACAAAACTAACATGGCAGCCATAGGAGCCAGTGACCCTGTGTTTAGGCTTGTTCTTTTGGCTTTCTTCCTCTGATCAGGAATGTGATATGGAGGGATTTGAATGGGCTCCTATGTGACACCATTAAGGACTTTCTTTCGTTAAATACCTTAGAAACTCAAAAGGTGATGCTTTTACTTTTTTGTTACCTAGAATTTGTTTTATCCTTGGGTCTTCTCACACAGAACGGACTTACTTATTTGGCTAACATTAGTTGTGTACTCAAAAATTGTATACATAATGTCATGGAGTATGTGTATATATATATAACAGGCATATTTATGTTCTAACCTGGATAAGAAATTAAAGACAAACTATACTCATGTTATATAGGTAAAATAACTATAGACATTTATGAAGTAACTAGACACAATAAACATTATACAGTTAGATACAAAAAAACTATTGTTTCTTCTTTCTAATTAGAATTTGAAAAATTAAAAATTAAATTAAAAAAATAAGCCTATTTGTTAGGTAAATTTACAATTACTACATATACATTATTTAAATTACTTAAATTAAATTTAGTTGACACTTTAGTTTTTTTCTTGTTTGCTGTGTAAACAAATATAGCTTTTAGATTTCTGTACCCCCTATTCTTTTTAACTCTACCCCATGACCAGTTTTTCGTTTTACTTATAAAAATTACTCCTGTTAAAATTTTAGACATGCGCCTCAAAAAAATTCTTGAATGGTTTATTTTCATTAATTTCTAAGAGAATTATTCAGTAAAATGATTTAAAATGTTCTTTTTTTCATTAAAAAAAGTAGAATTTTTTTCTTACTAAAAAGATATTTGTGGTTTTGATTTTTTACAAATAGATATTTTGTTTGAATGTCTACTTAGTGCCAGATTTTGTTTCAAATACTTTATATACACTTATATACATTACTTTGTTTAATTCTAGGAAACTTCCTTATGAGTGAAAGTTCTGTTGTTATTCTCATTTTTCAGATATGATTTTTAAGTTTTAGAGATTAAATAACTAGTTCAGATAGTGAAGCTAAGTACATATATTGGGTCGGGCAAAAAGTTTCTTTGGGTTTTTCCCGTAACATCTTACGGATAATATATGTCAGTAATTCTTTTTTTTTTTTTTTTTTAA